TCATTGATTCAGATAGAATCAATCTGTTGGGCGTATGCCCTAAATGACGGATTTTCGTCTTACAATATGCGCTGGGTCATAGATTCGTAATCAGATGAGAGCTCCGTCTCCAGAAATGCCTTGGAAGCTCATGGCAAAGCTGCTTTATTAGCTTTGAGGGTATTGAATCCAAACCGGGGGACATATCGTCTCGATTCCGATTGGATTCCGACTCAGGTCTCGGCTCATCGAACTCTGACATCGGCAATGCTGACCTTTGGTTCAAAGCCGACCGTCAGTATATCCGGGACTCCGTCCATTTATTACCGGATCCGTCGGGATTGATGTATAATATATTTATCAGCGTGCAAGGTTGGCTTTTGCAGCGTGCAAGGTTGGCTTTTGTCACGGTGCCAGACTGGGGCACCGTGCCCGCGGTTGCGAGCTCTTCTAGCCAGACCTTCATGGCCTCCTCCGAATTCTACTTATGAAGCTCAATGATAGATAATTAAGTTAAATTGTGATAAATGTAGCTCTGCCTGCTCTTCAGTTGGCACTTCATTGAGCGACATGGTGGTTAGGAGCAGGGGTTTTGTGCAACAAACTGATCACTCACATATATAGACAAGATGCTATCACAAAAAATACACTGCATAGAATATCTATTATATTGCTATAAACTTCCATAAGGGTACTGACGGCAAGCACAGGTGCAAGCGACGTGCGGCGGACGGCAGGCACGGCCACAGGAGGACAGTGGACAGCGGGCAGCGGGCAGCGGGCAGCGGGAAGCGGGCAGCGGGCAGCGGCAGGCAGTCGACGGCGCAGGCAGCAGGCAGTCGACGGCGCAGGCAGCAGGCAGTCGACGGCGCAGGCAGCAGGCATGCGGAAGCGGCAGGCATGCTGGCCTGCAAGTCTGTGCTGCTCTACACTGCAGAGGTCGCCAGGCACCGGGTAGTAAGCAGTGGGAACCAAGCAGCAAACGGGTAGCGGAAGCAGGTGGCGGCAGGCGCAGGCAGTGGCAGCGGACGCCGGGCACAGGTAGTAGTGGGAGGCAGGAGGCACATGCAGCAGATCCGCCCAGCGCTCAGATGCGGGCGTGGGCAGCAGGCAGCGGACGCATGTGGCGAGCTCCTGGTATTATATGCTCTTGCTCTCAGCGACACTAAGCACTCCCATAAACAGATTACAGCAGCTTGCGGAACATAGGGCACGGCCTGTTTTTATTTTTTTGGGTCCATTTTCAATAATATGATTGCGGTGAGCTTAAATCTTATCCAATTCTCTTGAAATGATAACCAATCGATTCGCACGGAGAATCCAGAGGGGATCTCGAGCCTGTATTTTTGATGGCATCACTTAAGTTACCATATATGGAAATTTCGGCATTTTCATATACAACCGCTGTAGTGCTGGAGATACAACTGTGGGAAACATAGATTTTTGTCTTGAGACACTAATGGCCATTCCTGAGGGGCTCTCAAGGCCAGAATTCATTTTTATTCCTCTAGTGAATCAAATGGGGTATTTAAATTCATCATATAATTCAAGTGCATTGTTTATGCCATGGGGTAATCACAAACAAATTTTGGCTTCGAGATCCCCTCGGGAATGGTCATTAGTGTTTCAAAACAAAAATCTATGTTTCCCACAGTTGTATCTCCAGCACTACAGCGGTTGTATATAAAAATGCCGAAATTTCCATATATGGTAACTTAAGTGATACCATCCAAAATACAAGCTCGAGATCCCCTTCGGATTCACCGTGCAAATCGATTGGTTATATTTTCAAGAGAATTGGATAAGATTTAAGCTCACCGCAATCATATTATTGAAAATGGACCCAAAAAAATAAAAACAGGCCGCGCCCTATGTTCCGCAAGCTGCTGTAAACTGTTCAAACCTCCGATTAAATTTTATCTCTTCATGGTAAGTGCCCACCCTCTGAATCAAATTTCTGAGGTTAACCCTGATTATCAGTTTAAACTTTTCAAACCGTTCATCTTCTCTTGTCAAGCCTTATCTCTTCATGGTCAGTGTTCACTCTCTGGATTAACCTGTTTATCCCGTTGAACACAGTGAGTGCTCGCTCTCAGGAGTTAATCGGATTAACCCTGTTTATCAGTTTGATCCATGGGTGCTCACTCTCTGCGCAATGTGATATGTGTATTCCATAAGGAGTTCCCGCCTCTCGTGTTCGGACCGCCGCAGGCGCTCATCGTGCAGCAGCCACCGCCGGGCAACGATCGAGAGCCTGTCCACTGGGCGCTCAAGACCATCTCGCTCCGCGCGTTGTGGACCGCGTCGAACCCGAACGCGCCCGAGCCACCGCTCGAAGCGCTCGCCGAGTTCCATCGCATGCTCATTGAAGAGCCGGAGGCTTCCATTCGCGCGCGCTCCTACGTTGCGAGCGACGGTCGTGTTCTGCGTGTCCAGGACGACCTCCATGCGCAGCCAGGAGTGACTGTCTTGGTCGCTGTCGGCGCCGCGCACGTCCTCATGCCGCAGGCGGTATAGACTCAAACTCGAGCTGTTATGTTATGTATCCCCTGCATCGCTATCTCTCATCGCTATCGCCTACATATATACATGTATTGCAAAAAAAAAAAAGACTCTCGACCTAGGAGTCGAACCCGCTCGCGCGCGCGGATAAATCTTTCATGGCCTATGACAGGCGCTAGTCGAGATCTTGGCGTGCTGCCGTGACACTGTAGCGTGCAGCAGCGTGCATCGAGCGTGCATCAAATCATCTTGAACCTTGTCCGGGACTCCCACTGCGTGCAATCACAGCAATGTACCCCTCCAGTAATCTCCACTTACCGCCGTCAAGACTAAAAATTTCAACTTTGTTTACATAACATAATCGGTTGTGTTCAAGCTTGTCTTCCTGTGGGTTGCATTCTTTGAACTTACTATGTGGGTCCAAATTGCAAATTGAAAAAGTTGAGCATGGCTTTGTCATTTCAACACAAGTCGGCATGAACACAGTCATTACTACTGTAAGTATAGAATCGATACCAAAGTCATTTTTAACTAACATCCACATGTAATGGCACATACCTGTGCAATGTGAATCGCGGGAGCTTAAGACTGTTGTTTGCCCGCCGTCCTGCGCCGGCGCTGCATACGCGATGCGGGACTTGAGCCCAGACACTTCCGCGGGGGCACGCCATGCGGCATCTCGATGCGGCTGGGCCGCCGGGCAGGCGTCATCACGCACCAACAGGCGGCGCTCTCCGACCTCCACTCTGGATGCGCAAGAACGCCGACGGCAGGTCACAAATAAACATTGGAAACCAAAAGAGAAAAAAAGGGACAAGAGGACACCTTTGCGTACTCTCGAGCTGGGAGTCGAACCCAGTTTACACGTGCGAAACTCCTCTGATCGGCGATTCGCGTGCGTACTAACGGAAGTACTAGTCGAGATTGATTGTACTTATTTCATGTGTCCTTCCGATGTAATGTTGGCACCGTGACGCAGAGGCATACGCGATACTTGACCCGGACATGACGCACACCGCATGCGGGGTCACGCAGATTCATCATGATCATTCCCTTGGATTTATGGATGCCGTGACGATGGCAGCGACGCAGGCCCCCGGCATATCCCTATAGAGGTCCCATCCCCAAAAAATCCTGAACTGTGAAGATTTTCGTGATTTTTTAGTGGCCCCAAAGAATGTGCGGTGCCGAAATATGATATTTCCAACACCCAAAATACTAGTCAGGTGACTCCTCTGGCCCAGAGACACGGCAATTTAAACCCCCCAAATTTGCCCGGATCCTGGATGGGACCTCCAATGGGATATGCCGGGGGCCCAGCGACGCGTCAGTTGCGTCAGTTTGACATATTGCAAAAATGGGGGAAAAAACAAAGACTCTCGACCTGGGAGTCGAACCCAGCTTTCGCGCGCGCGGAATTCTATATTATCAATATGACAGGCGCGTGTACTAAACCGATATACGAGTCGAGATCAACTGGTTGCTTATGAATGTGATGTTTGATCTGCTGTGCATTGCCTGTGCACCGCGAATCCGAGTCGTACTTCGATTGAAGCTCGCTCTCGGGCCTGGATGATACGGCATCCCAATCCGGACAAAATTTGAGGGTTTAGATGTATGGTCCCCGGAAATTTGGGGGGATCTTGGGGATTTTGGATGTTACATCATTTCCTTTTTTGGAAAGAAGTTGGTACGTAGCCGGAACGGGTACGTCGTCCGTGTTAAGAAGTTGGATGGACCTATATATGTGATATGCCGGGGACAACGATATACTGATGCTTTAAGCATCTATAATGTATCTCAGTATACTTAGTTGCCGAAGTTCCATGACCAGAAGCAATTATCCAGCAACTTGCAGAGGTCATCACAAGTTTAAATTGGTGAAAGTCAGTGATTGTAATTTGTCGGCGACTGTGGCTACGGAGGTATATTAGGTGAGGAAATTTTGAAACACATGCGAGCAGCCATTTCCTGTCGTCGCAGTTCGCGGCGGCCAGGGTAGTCAGCCATATATAACTCATGGCAACTCATTTTCTATCCCCACACAGTGAGATCATTTGGTAGGCCCTATTGGCCCTATGACAGGAAGCCGATATACTAGCCGATACGATTGTGCAGCCGTTCCAGAATCTATCAATTTGTCTTTCCGCCTGTCGCTTCGCTTGGCACAAGTGGTGAGAAATCTTACATCTCTCCCTGGATCTATTGATCTGTGTCCTGGAAATACGTCGGTCAGGCGATTCCGCCATGTCGCACAGACATGAACTTCTCTGTCAGGGAGTATACCCGCATTCTTGGCTTCCACATGAATCGCAGACATCGCAATAAAGCTGGGGTCCAACGTCACGTGGCGGTGCGTCGCTGCGCGCATCTGGATCATCACGCGCACCGGCCGCCGCTCTCTCATTATGGATCCACATACTTGCCACAGACCAACAACGCTGATGGGCGCAACACTTGTAATTGATTATTTTATTTGCAGTTGAATCAAAAAGAGCAAACAAGTTGCCGGTCTCCAACTCTCGACCTGGGAATCGAACCCAGCTTTCGCGCGAGTTGTCACTTTTATTTCGCCGATATATGACAAGCGCGTGTACTGACCGATATACTAGTCGAGACACTTCTATTGATGTGTTCCCCCCGCATCTGGGTGCACGACTCGTATGCCTGTGCACCTTGAATTCCGGACGTCGATTGGAGCTCGACTCTATGTGGTGGTGCGTCCGTTCTTGGGCCCATACCTGTCTCGAAGAGACTATTGTCGGCTCGCCGTCCTGCGTCGGTGCTGCATACGCGATGCGGGACTTGAGCCCGGACACTTCCGCGGTGAGGCACGCCATGCGGCGCCTCGATGCGGCTGGGCCGGGCACGCGTCGTGACGCGCACCAACAGGCGGCGCTCTCCACCCTCAGGCTGGATCCGAGGATCAAGAACGCCGGCGGCGGGTCAAGAATAAAAATGGGAAACAAAAAAGAACAAAAAAGAACAAAAATTCAAAGCATCAAATATAACCTCTCGACCTGGGAGTCGAACCCAGTTTGCGTGCGAAGTACGTCTAGTCGGTTGTCCGCGTGCGTACTAACCAATATACTACTCGAGATTGATTGTGCTTCCCTTGATCTGTTTCATGTGTCCTTCCGATGTAATGCTCCAGGCACACGTGAATCGACAACGACTCCACGTGGCCGCGGCGCGTCCGTTACTGGGCACCGTGACGTCGAGGCTACGCGGTGCTTGACCCGGACATGACGTGCGGCTGAGACCAGGCAGACGCCGTGACGATGGCAACGACGCGTCAGTTGCGTCAGTTTGTAGTAAAAATGTATTGCAAAAAGAAAAGAAACCAAACGTACTCTCGACCTGGGAGTCGAACCCAGCTTTCGCGCGCGCGGAAACATCTTCAACCGACAGGCGCGTGTATCAAACCAATATACGAGTCGAGCTCGACTGATTGCTGGTGGTGTTTGACCATGTGTCATTATGTGATGACACATACTTGTGCATTGCCCGTGCACCGCGAATCGGACGTGGCGGTGCGTCCATTCTTGTTTTGGTAAGCGTTCCAACGTTGCTCGTAAAAGTCAGTACCTGCACCCATTAGTCTTACTGACACATCTCTCTACATATTAGCGGTTCCACGGTCACCTTCTCTCCGCCGGCGGTGCAGCTTCCGCAGCAGCGGTGCAACTGTGGAATGATTACATAATGCATTTCAACCGCATAAAATGAGCACCAGCCAGCTGACTTAGCGTCATTTCTCTCTGCCTTCCTCCATAACGTATTCTGCCTGCACACATGAAGTCCTTCAGCAATATTCTCTTCACCACCGCGCTGCTCTCCGTCGTGGGGGCCGCGGCCATCGCAGTGCGCGTGCTCTGCAGCCTTAGACAGCTATGTTGACCGGTCGACAGGAAGATTGGAGCAGCGGGAGCTCGAGCGCGTCCTACAGCGGGACTGACACAGGCCCGACGTCGACCGCGACTGGCGGCTTCGCTCTGCTCGCCGTCTACACCACCTGCACCGAATTTACGTTCGCGAAACCGGCGCTTCCCACGGTACGCCCGCCGCCAGCCCCGGCGCCGGTTTTCCATTTCTCACTCTGAGTGCGCACACGACACAGGTCACGGACGGGACTGGGAGCGCGTCTGCGTCCGCGTCGTCCACCACGGTGCGCATTCCTCGGTTCGATGATCGCCGAATCGCTTCTTACGCCCCTTTTCCAGGACACGTCCTCCGTGACTGATTCGGCGTCGGCGTCGGCGTCGGCGTCGGGATCCGAGGTACGTCATGCCCATTCCACTTCCACTGATTCTCATTCTCAAATCCCGCCGCGCATGTGCAGACGAGCCCGGTCGCCGTCTTCTCGACGTGCCTCATCTTTTTGCCCATGGATATGGTGACCTCGACGGCGACGCTGACGGGCACGGCATCCGCCTCCGCGACGTCGAGTGCCTAGCTTGGACTACACAGCTACGACCGCGATGACGTCAGACATGGAACGTCGAAAAATTAGTGATTACTAACTTGTAGTTTAGTCCAATGTATTGAATGATTGCAACTTGAAATATTGCGTTGCATGCAGACTGGATGTTTATTCGTACCAACAGTGAAGTCTACCCAATATGTATTCGCGCTTCCACTGCCACAATTCATGGGATGTCGTGTGGAGTGGCGCCTAGGGGTTCAGTTTCATATAATCCGGCCGCTCTTCCTATGCTTGATTTTGGGCAGGCCTCGGCAATTGTATGGCGGAACAATGAACTGAAATGGCCGCTGCAGAACACAACAGAAGGCAAACCGTGGGAACTTTGCGTGCCACAGCCGATCAATTCAGCATAATCATCGGTGGTTACCTCGCCTAAACCAAGTACTCGGGGGATCGCCAGCAAATTTAGCATATGTCAGACTCACCTTGGCTGAGGATAAGAGTCAAACGAGACTGCACTGTAAGATATCTGTGGCCAGGGATGTAATTACGCTTCGAGGCGTACGGCCGACCAGCCGTCCTAGAGGCTTCTCTGCCGTCCGACACCAACGAAAAATCAGGCGAGTGGGTGTATTGTTTTGCAATTGAGCGCGGTGAGCGCGGTGACGTACACCGGCTCTGGCTCAAGGTGATTCTGACGTGCCTTATATATGACACACCAGAAGTCTTCCGCACGCACTGTAGAACCTGTCTTTTACCTGTCTTAAGCCTCATGCCAGGTTGGCCTCTACCTCTCCGAAATTCAGGACCGGTCACAGTATCACGTGCTCCTGGACATCTTCAAGTGCTGGCGCAACGCCAACGGCACCGTCTTAAACCTGTATATTTTTAGTGCAGGTGAATCAAAAGGGAAAGAAAAGAACGGGGGGGAAAAAAACTCAGCGATCTCATTGAATTAGATCTCCTGGGAGTCGAACCCAGCTTTCGTGCACAGCTTTCATTGCTTCATATCGCATCATGGCACGTGTACTAAACCAGTGTACTAGTCAAGATTAATTGTACAACTCCCTGGGCATATTGATTTGTGTCCTGGAAATAGGTCTGCCGGGCCTTCCGTCGTGTCGTACAGATATGACGACTTCTGCATTCTTGCACTATGGTTCAGATTCGGATGGCATGTCCAAGCACGTGTACTACTTAAACCAGTATACTAGTCAAGATTAACTGTACAATACCCGGGGCCTATTGATTTGTATCCTGGAAATAGGTCCACCTGGCCTTCCGCCGTGACGACTTCTGCATCCTTGCATTATGGCTCAGACAACAGACTCCGAGACCCATGACGATATATGTATGTGTATGTAGTCTGTTATCAAATGTGTTTTCCGCCTCGCTCTCCTTGAGTTCACGCGTTTTAGACTACCACGCCGCGGCTCGAGGTCTTCCGCACGCACCAGCCGTCGTAGAGGCATCTCTGCCGTCCGACAGCAACGCAAAGTAAGCGAGTGATCGAATCGTTTTGCACGGTGAGCGCGGTTACGTACACCGACTCTGGCTCCAAGATGATTCTGACGTGCCTTATTGACACGCTAGAGGCACTGGAGAATGTGTCTTAAGCCTGTGCCTCCCCGGAGTCCAGGACTGGCCACATTATCACGTGCAGCTGCCAGTGGGCATTTTCAAGTGCAGGCGCAACGCCAACGGCATCGTCTGAAACCTTCTCAGAATGCTGAGAGTTCTGAATTTTGGGAAGGTAGAGGTCAGCCTGGCGAGAGGCTTAAGACAGGCAAAAAGACAGGTTCTCTGGTGCGTGCGGAAGACCTCTAGCGTGTCAAATGTACAAGAACAATTCACCCACGTCGGCATCGGCGCTGATTTTGCCCGTCTCTCGGTCATGAGTCTCTCATAACTGTGGAGCTTCTTCTAACTTCATCACTCACATACACTGCATACATTGACTGAATACACTGAATACTGTTGAACGGACCGGCGTTGAGCTCGAAAAGCATTTACGAATACATGCCAGTGTAACTTTGGATCACTTGTAATTAGCGATATCCAGGCTCAGAATTACTTTGCACGACAGCGTACTACGCAACATAGGAGGATGTAACTACACCTCGAGGTTGCCGTCCGACACCAACGCAAAAGTCAGCGAGTTACGGCGCGCGGCACCGTCCCGGTCCCGGTCCCGGAATTAGGAGGTCCCTCTGGCGCTCTTCAAGTTGGTAGCAAGGAACATAAACTATAATCATATGGTCTGTGTATGCGGCTCTCACTGCGGAGCATGACTCAATCGCCCTGGTGTAGTCTCCAGGCCAAAATAGTATTCAAAAAAAAAAAAGACATGAACAGTACGGAGTCAAGGAGTACGACAGATAAATCATGAGGAAACCCAAAATTTTGAATGCAAGAGAATAAGGCATGCCTCACACTGGAGCAAGGTTTACCATCGGCGTACGTAAGCGTGTAACTCACTCATTTGCTGAGTTTTACGTTAGCCTCGGACGCGCAGCGACGACGTCGCTTCAATGAGTCATTTCCACCATGACAGAGGAGGATGTACGAAAAACGGCGTGTCAGTATATCTACCTGACACGTCACTTTTGGTCTATTCCATTCCATTGCGATTGGAAACATCTGTGAACAATCTGTCAATGCAGGCTCTCATCTCCATTCATCTTTCCTCGTCATTTCCTCTCTTTCTTGGCTGTACTTATTACGCACCGCAGCCTATAGGTACCGAGAGGCCCCGGGAAGCTCACGCCAAAGCTTGTCCGGAAATTTCCCCAAAATTCGCCTCAAAAAGCCACTTTTGGACAAGGGTCGTCATGTGGGGGGCGAAAAAAATCGCAATGCCGAATGTGCCGGTCAACAGATGCCGGAAACCCGGGCCCATGTCCCATGTCTGTGGAGAAAACAAAAAATTCACAAAGCACAGTTACCTGGAAAGGCGACCTGCACGAAGCGTGGCAGCTGCCCGAGAATGAGCGGGTCCGTGCCCTGATAGCTCGTCCCACAGCCTTTATCATCGTTTCGTCGACCGTCACAGATGTAGCGGTTTGTGAGCATAAAGTAGTCGGTCGGCATCGACCGCACTCGTCGAGCAATAGGCTTGTCACTGAAGCCTGCAAATAGAGTTCATAATGAAGCAACAAGATTGAGTGCACTCACCGTTACGAGTTAGTCTCT